CATCTTGTAAAAACTTGATCACAGTACAGGCTTCACTCGTTTTCCAGAAGAAGAATCAGTTTCTGGACAGGTCTTTCCAATACTGATAGCTTGCTTTCTCTTCTGCCTTTCTTATCAATGTTCTTGGTACCAATCTGAACTTTAACCCTTCTGACTAAACCATCATCGCTTGCCGCAATCTCAGTTACGATGCCCAATGGCCACTGCATTCAATGAAGTTGTTCATCTTTCAATAAGACTATGTCTCCCACCTTGATATTACGTCTCTGTGTGTTCCACTTCTGTCGTTTTGTCAGCGTATTCAGGTATTCATTCTTCCATCTACCCCAGAACTGCTCAGCTAAATACTGTACTCTGTACAAATCTTCCTTTACAAATTTACCTGGAGGGGGCAGTGCTAATGATGTTTTCATGGTGAGTACATGGTTTGGAGTTAAAGGTTCAGGACTTGTAGGATCATTCAGCATCTCTACTGTGAGTGGACGGCTATTAACAATGGCCATAACTTCATACAGAAATGTACGTAGTGATGCAGAATCAAGACGACCAGAAGACTGTAGTAGAAGTGATGACAGTACGCTTCTGATTGTCCTGACTTGTCGCTCCCACACACCACCTGTATGACTAGCATATGGAGGATTCATAACAAATTCACACTGATGCTCTGCCAGAAATACTTGGATTCTTTCTGTGTCTAACTCCCGCAGAGCTTCTTGAAATTCATTCCGTGCTCCTACGAAGTTGCTACCCTGGTCAGATCGAAACTGTAGCACAGAACCTCTAATCGCAATGAAACATCGAAGACTGTTAATAAAACAATCTGTTGACATATCACGAAGCATTTCAATGTGGACAGCCCTGTAACACATGCACGTGAACAGAAGTCCATACTTCTTGTGCTGTTTCCTTCCATCTTTAACAATAAAAAGACCAAAACAGCCCATACCACAATCTGCAAAAGGAGGTGAAGGTTCTACTCTGTCTTCTGGTAGATCTGCCATTTTTTGCTCTTCTGCAGGACGGCGAAGACAACAACATTTGACACACTTGTGAATGTGACTGGCTACAACCTTGGTTCCTCCAATGACCCAATACCTATTGGTTCTCATTTCATTAAGTGTCATTCCTCGTCCTTGGTGCTGAACTTTACTATGGAAGTGTGTAATGATCAACCTAGTGACATGGCTATCTCTCGGCAGAATGACTGGGTGTTTGACGATATCTGGAACCCTAGCTCTCTTTAAACGACCTCCAACTCTTAGAACACCAGCGTCATCAAGGAATGGGTCCAATTTGTAAATACTACTACTTCCATTCACTCTGGCTGACCTCTTAATAGCTCTAATTTCTTCAGCAAAGGCTTGATTTTGGATTGATTTAATTATAAATCTTTCAGCTTCCTGTCTTTCTTGGGAACTGCAAGGGTCACTCATTCCTTTCTATCTCTTAAAACTCTTTTAATGCGTGCCAATGCCCCGACAGCTCCGGACCATTTAGAGAAACGGGACATGCAAGTCTCCAAGTTGAATGGTTCTTCTTGTGTCACAGCTGAGAAAGTTGTCACATTTCTCACTTCAGGATCTCCAACATTCAATTCATAGGTTGA